TGAACCAAACGGCCCCTAAATAGTTCTCTCTCAACTTGTAACTTCTTCCTGTGCACAACCAAATGACCACTTATAATATTGTTATTGAACAATGTACTGTTGATTGAACAATATATTCCTAATATGATCCATTTATGTGCAGCAAACTATGTCCTCTAATCTAAAATGGAAAAAATTACTACTGCTGACTATTTTATGGGTTGCTTTTGTGCTCTTTCAAATCCTCAAGGCAAGCTACTTCTTCATTGTGCTTAGTGTTTTAGTTGCAAACTTCCTATACGATCCATGGGCACCATGGCTAATGAAAATTAATAATTTGTTCAACAGAATGATATTGCAGCCTGTTCCACGTGGTATTGGGTGCTTACTCTTGTCCAGGTATTCATCCACCTCCATCTCTACGGCATAACATGTTTGTCCATGTGCTGCTTGTCTAAAGCCTCACACCTCCAAAATACAAAAAACCATTTTGTACTAGATTTCCTTTTATATGGTTCTTTTTTAATAATTGGGCTTGTTTCCGCAGTTTCCTGTAGCTTTCGGAGTTTTTGGTTATGAAGCACTTAAATTATATGAAGAAGGGAAGAAAAGGAAGATAGCTGGTAACACTGAATCTGTTTGTGAAGCTTCCATTGAATTTACACCCATCACTCTATCCTTTTGTGCACTTTGTGGTCTTCTTGGAGGCACTGTTGGTGGTCTTCTTGGATCTGGAGGCGGGTTCATCCTGGGCCCACTGCTTCTTGAAATTGGTGTAATTCCTCAGGTATGTATCAATCATCAATAATCATTATTGTCTTATTATGTGTAAAAGTTGATAATCAAATCAATGTAGGAATAGTATCTATTATAGTCTAATAGACATAATTATTAATTTTGTCTAAGAAAAAAAAGTAATTATCTCTTTGCATATGTCTGATTGATTCTGTTTGACTCTTATATGAAGTACCATGAGCCCATGTGGTTTGTGGCATAATAGGCCTAAATTGGACTAGTTGTCAACTTATTCCAGTTTTCTCAAAATTTCCTTTAATATGTCTCGTCAATTTATTTTTTTTTGAATTTTTTTTATCTTGTGGTGATAAATTGACCTACTCGGAAGGGTTATTGTCTAATTGGTCATATGTCAATTTATAGTATTTACTGTTACAAGTAAACAAAAATGCTCCTCCCTTTACTATGTATTTGTCCCATAATTATAGACCTTTTTTTTTTTAAATTCGGTTTGTGATCTTTTTTGTATCCTGTCTATACATGTGAATACTCTAATAGTGATGCCAAGTGTGATGCCCATTTTGATGAAACCTTGTCAAAGTTGTAGTTCTTGTGGATATATTTTACCAGAATTGTACTTTCACACCAGTATCCATATGTTGTTACTTATGAAACATTTTTGTGTTAGTTAAACCGTAAATATCCAAAAATTAGTAAGTGGTCAAGTTGGAACATAATAGCATTGTTGAGATTACGGATACTTGGAGCAAATTTGTGGACTTAATCCTTTGATCTGAATTTTCTCTCTCTCTCTTTTTTTTTTTTTTTCCAATTCAATTTTGGTTTCTTTTGTAATAGGTGGCTAGTGCAACAGCAACTTTTGTGATGCTCTTCTCGTCGTCCTTGTCTGTGGTGGAGTTCTACTTTCTCCATAGGTTCCCATTCACATTTGGTATTATCCTTGTCTAATCTTATCATACGTTTCGTTTACATCTATTGGGCATATTCTTCAGTTGGACCATTATTTTAGAGTCGTTTTAACTTCTGAAATACTGCTGTCGATTGTGTAAAAGGATAGAATGCAGCATATGCCAATTTATGCTAAAAAGAATTCTTCTAAAACCTACCTTGGCTTTCAATGATAACTTGACCTATTCACTACTAGATTCTTTATCTGGTTTTGTGGTCCGATGCTCTTGTATAATGATACAAAATTCCTTGCAGCCTTGTACCTCATGTCGGTTTCTCTTATGGCTGGCTTCTGGGGACAATATTTTGTGAGGAAGCTAGTTGCTTTCCTTAAGCGAGCTTCCCTCATTGTCTTCATCCTCTCCGGTGTTATTTTTGCCAGTGCTTTGACAATGGGTAATTTCTTCTTTCAGTAACGCAATTCAAACCTTAATTCTTTATACTACGTATATACTGTTAATCATCTTGTTATTGTAACATATTGCTCTTTCCCCTTCTATCTTCTGAAATTTAATTTGTGCAGGAGTGATTGGGATTGAGAAGAGCATTCAGATGATAAATGATCACGAGTTCATGGGTTTTCTGGATTTCTGCTCGAATCAATGATCGTGAATGAGTTCATGGCTGTACAAACTGAATTATTTTAAAATTAAATTTGAACAGATGCAAAATCGAATCATTATTAGTCGGCGTGGTTAGTATGTAAAGCAATGCGAAAATGTTGGTCAATGTCTTGTTGACGAACTACCCAGATCATTGCTGTGAATCAATAAAGGGTATTCTTGTTTGATCTGAGTGTCAGCTACTAGTTGACACTATTAGTAGTCTTTAGTATAGCTAAAGTTTGATTGTAATCAGCTTCTTATGAAATTAGTCATATTGACTCATATATCACATCTTTGCAGCCCTCTTTTTTTTACTGATTTACATTTGTATGGTGAGTCAAGTTTTTATTTTTTGTATCCCTATAATTCAATTGCGCAGTGTGCGATTAGCGTCTCCTGGCATCGTTTGCCATCACATGGGCCAAGGGAACTGAGGATCAAGAAACCCTCGTTACATAGCAATGTAAGAACTCGACTGAGATGCTAATCATTTGATGGAGCAAGTCTTGGGTGAGATTGCGCATGTAAAATGTTATGAAGTTCCTGCTTATAGAAACTGCAGGAAGCCATCTATAAAAGGCATTTAATAGTACAAGTAATTGATTAGGTATAAACGTATAAGCGCTTCCCTATCATCGGCTATTTAGCGAGGGATTAATTTCCATGTTGAGATCTCGTGTGTTAAGCCCCCTAAATAAATGGCAAATTATTGCCGTATTTATAAGGAGAGTTGTATTTTGCGGTATTGATTATACTTTATAGACTCCATATTATCTTTTTTGAAAATACAAATTTAGTGCTTGTTTTTTGGTTGACATGAAAATTTAATTCTATCAATTGGCTGTTGGTGCAGTGGTGATTGGGACTGCACTTGATAGGGAGGACCGCGTGTTCGATCCCCCGCAACAACAATTGGAAGGGGATTTTAATCTAACCATCCAGAACTGATCCCCGAATCCGTATTAGCCCAAAGGGTGAACCGGGTAGAACACCAAAAAAAAAAAAAAAAATTCTCATAGTAAGTTACATTTCATAGAAAATTATTTCCTTCCTAGAATTACTAAGAAATAATGGTCATTAATTGTTTGGTTGTCATAAAAGTAATATTCATATGAATTTTTAAGTAACCAAGGAAATGTGGCCTATGGGTAATTTAATTTTTCATGTTTTGTGAGAGGTTTTGATATTTATGAATTCATAAGTTCTCCATTTTTACCTTATTGTCAACCAAATTACCAAACAAATTTCCCTACTTGCAACTTTCAATGAATCTTCGCCACCACATTATTGAAGGTAAGACATGAATAACAAGTTTTTTTTTTTTTTTTTTTATTAATAAGCGGTTACATAAAGTTATATAACCATACTATAATGTCAATTTAACTTTAGTCAAAAAAAAAATAAAATGTACTCGTAGTAATTTGATTTCACAACAAAATTAAAATACAAGGCTCCAACTTATATTAAGATTATATTATTCACAAAAACAAGATTATCATATGAATATTATCATGATCTCCAATGCAGTATTATGCAATCATATAAAATCAACAAAAATATTTAAAAAAAAAAAAAACGATTCCGATGCCGGGAATCGAACCCGGGTCTCCTGGGTGAAAGCCAGATATCCTAACCGCTGGACGACATCGGAATTGATGTTTTATTTTTGTTACAATTTATACTCAACCACAACCCAACGTTCCCACCCAGATCAAGAATCGAATCCTTTCCAAGTTTGTACATAATTGAGTCTCTTTTTTTGATGTTTTGGACAGGGTTCACCCTTGGTTGCTTGTGCTTGTGTATCTGTAAGCATTTAACTAAATCTAAGACTCAACTAGATTACAAGTTTACAACCCCAACATACTTCCTCCGTCCCAAAATATCTAGGACATTGAGATGGATACATAGTTTAAGAAAACTTTGAGTAAGACCATTAATATATTTATGTTTACATTAAAAGATTTCTTTTTAATTTTTGAGTGAATGAAATTGCTTTCCAAAAATTAGTGGGCTATGGAAAAATAGAGGAAAATAGTTTTTAATTAGTAGTCCCATACTATATTTAAAAATGTCACTCTGAGACGGACAAAAATAGAAGTTATGTCAGTTATACTGGGACGGAGGAAGTATCTTATTTGGTTAATGGTCGTCAACCATAACACCGAAATGATGAGGTAACCTAACCCATCCCCAATTACAAATTGATAGGATTTGAACCGAACAAATAATTAACTAAACCAATCAATTAATTTTCAAATCCAAGAAGCAAGAAATGGTAGAAGTGAAAAACGAAAAGGAATCAAATTTTGGAGAGGACATTAGATTTAGGGGGGGGGGGGTGTTTCTCTCTCTAAGTCTCTATATTCGACTTACTAGCCAAATAAATCCGTTTTAACCCGCTACCTGAGTAACCCAACCCGAACATTGATAATATGTCTCAATCTCCATTTGTACCTAGCATATTACTTCAAGCTATTTCCAAGATGGTAATCTGTGTAATTGAGTGTTGAATCTGGCAAATTTAGGTCACTACAATTTTCGATATTTGTATGTATTCACAATCATATTCATAGCATTCATTTCATCAATATTCTGTATGTAACAAAAAATGATTAGTGGCAGAAAGTTAAAAGGCCATGTTGCCACTTGGCATTGGCTATGAGTGTTGCACAATGTAGATTAAATCATTAAAAGACGGGACTACCTTGATTATGAAAAAGATTCAATTCATTATCAAGAAACCAAAATACAAAGGACTTTATAAAAGCCATTTCCTACCTTCTTAATAAAAAGCCAAAACATACAAGTAAGATGATAATTTATATAAGAACCAAAATGAACTTACAACATAATATAAGTTTCAAAAGCTAGGTGTAACAAAAGATCAAATATGACCAGAAAACAGCTAACAGATAGACCGGCCAACAAAAACCATGCATGGTCATATTCACCTATTATAGTCTTGTTATATTATGTCCACCCATTGCTAGCTCAATCAACGGCGACGTCCTGGCTTCCCGGGGAAGCCGGTCCCTTCCTCCCCCATCTTCCCAACATCATTAGGGGTGTAACTCTGCCCGGTTATCTGATCAGCCGCCTTCAGAAGATCCGCAGCTGCTCCAGGTCGCGACTCCTCAACAGTCACTGCTACGATCTTCTCATCGCCGCCCCTGCCCTGTGTCCTTCGTTTCTCCTCTTCACTTGGCACTGAAAGCTTGCTCTTCATAGCATCTGTTAAACCACCTATTGCCCCTAGTATATTGTTCTTGGCATCCTCTCCCCTGTTTTATACAAAAGAATACTCATCAGTTATATGATCGATCAATTTAATTTCTAATCTTTACATTGTTGTACAAATTGTATCCTGATTAAGCACTACCTCAGTGCCGCATCGCGGTTATCATCTTGCATATCATAGCCCTTCTCCCTCAGCTTTTCTACCCTCATTTCTTCCCTTTTCCTTGTTGCATCCTCTTCTGTAGCCTTGTAAGCATCCTGCTCATGAAATATAATCATATATCATTATTTTTATGAGCACATCTAATAAAATCCACGCTAAAAATATCAAATTATCACTAAATAAATATCGATTGCTCACTACAAGTTCAAAGTAATTCTTGCAAATTTACATCTTATACATGTAATACTGCACAGCTGCACTTCATATATAATCACATGTTCTACGGCTATGCTCAAAATCTAATATCAAGAATGTAATACAGCAACTAAATTTTCGCAATCAATTTCTAAATAAAAAATAAAATGTACCCAACTACATATGCTATTCACATTGATTTGTACTACTGCTATCGAAATTTCCGCAATTGATCAGCTAATAATACTACTAGACAGCTAAACTTAAACTTGTATGATGAATAAGAAGCAATGCAATTGAAGGAAGAATGTAAAGGAATATATATATGCAATTAAAAAAATATGACTAGTCATCTTGATCTAAAAAGTTATAACATTTTATTTAACCTTAGAAACTGCTACATTATTTGAGATACAAGTCTAATTAAAACATACTATACCCACAAACAAATTATGTACTACTGACAGACTAGCTAATTCAGAATTACTGTACTTATTATGCAGAGAATTAGAGAGAGGACAACCGAATTCTCACCTTGGCTTCCTCTTTCTTCTGCCACGTCTTGTTCTTAGCAGCATTCGCGGTCTGCTTAGCGGATTCCATAGTCTCCCTCCCTTTCTCTTTGGCCGCCTCTGCCGTCTCCTTCGTCTTCTGCACAGTAGCATCAGCAGTCTCACTCGCCTTCTCCGCAGTCTCATCTTTCTTCAAAGACAAGAAACCCATCGCCCTTTTCGCAACATCAGCAGCAGAATCCTTCAACTCAGTCAGCTTCCCAACAGTAGCATCCTTCCCTTCCACAGCCTTCTCAGCAGTGTAATCCGTGTACTCCCCGGCCGTCTCCATTGTCCTGTCTTTCACCTCCCCTGTCTTATTCGCCGCTATCCTAGCTTTCTCAGCAGCAACATCCTTCGCCTCCTTACTCTTATCCGCCACATAACCCGCAGCATCCTTAGTCTTCCCTACAGTAGCATCCTTCGCCTGCACGGCCGTATCAACAGTCACATCCTTCGCCCCTCTAGCCTTATCCGCCACATAACCCGCAGCATCCTTAGTCTTCCCAACAGTCACATCCTTCGCCTGCACAGCCGTGTCAACAGTAGCATCCTTCGCCCCTTTAGCCCTATCAGCGACATAACCCGCAGCATCCTTAGTCTTCCCAACAGTAACATCCTTCGCCTGGACAGTCTTATCCGCGACATAACCCGCAGCATCCTTAGTCTTCCCAACAGTAGCATCCTTCGTCTGCCTCAAACTCTCAGCAGCATTATCCCTCCCTTCCCTCGCCAACGCGGCATCCTCCCGAGCACGAACAGCAGCATCCCTCTCAGTCTCCTTCATCTTCTCAGAAGTATACGCAGCACTCTCCTTAGTCTTCTCAGCAGCATCATGAGTCTTCCCAGCAACAGCCTCCTTCGCGTGCTCATACGTGCTCCCGATCGCGCCGATCACCGAGGAGATTATCCCCGGCCTATTTTGTTGTTGTTGGTAGTTGGTTTCATCAGTGTAGTAATCTTTCCGAACTTGCTGATCTTGATTCGGCTGGGTTTCCTTTGCTTCCCTCTCTGACTTGAGCTCATCGGCGGCGTACCTCGCCGCCCCCTCCGCCTTCTCTACCTTCCTGCTTGCCATTTTTGTGTGTTATACTATAATTTCTCAAGAGATTTTGTTCAACTTAGAATGAAATTTTCCTTTCTTTTCTTTCTTTTGTTTTTTTTTGTTGAATTTGATTTTGATGTTAAAAGAACGAGGAGGTGATATAAGAGTGAGGAAGGAGGAGGTTAGGATGAAGAGGAAAGGACGCGTGGAGGGAGAAGGAAGAAGGTGGACACGTGACAGGGAGAGAGTGAGGAGGAGGTGACACGACGTCAAACCCATGCAGATCGAGATATGAAATGAAACGAACATATGATAAAATAGTGAAGTCGAAGAAACCAAATCAAAAGGGTTTTGGGATGAGTTCGACAAGTGTGCCCGTAGTAATCCTTTCTTCATTTGTTTATTTGGGAAATTAGAGTAGTTGTCATTTTACACCTTTTACGTTTTTGGAACCAAGCATCACCATTATTTTTTATTCCATTTGATCAATTGATTAGAAGATCAGCTTTAGAGGTGCAGAAAACTGACCCGTTTAATTTGATTCGATCCGATTTAAAGAAAACCCGATGCAAATTTATATAATTATAATTATTACTATTACTATTATAATTATCTAAACATAAATATTAATTATTATTTTTAAGCAGAGCAGAGTAGTGCAGAGCAGCTCAAAAGAATAGGGCCTATATTTCATTCATCTTATTTTCAATAGAGATTATATGTTTAGATAATCTCAAGATAAGTGTAGCAAAAATAAGTTCATATAAAAGTTACCTAATTTTAAGATAATAATTTTTTATTTTTTTTTCTTTCGTGTGTGACCAAAAAGGCAAAAACCATAAATTTACCAAAATAAGAATATGTGTATTTTTTTTAATTAAAAAAGCTTAAAATTTTTTACATTACATACTAGTAAAGGTGAAACTAACAAGAATGCTTGATATATAACATATTATTAAAAGACTTTTCTTCAAAATTTCTTGTTTTAAAAAAAATTATTGTTACATAAAAAGGTCAGGTTTGTACATAAATTATAAGAAAATTGGCTTAAAATAATACCAACTATTAACGGTGTGTGCAAAATAATACGAACATTAATATTTACTATTAGCAGTACTATCTTTTGTACAATATGTGCCAAATAGTACGTCGGTCACCGAAAAAGTTTTGTGAGGAATATTCCATCTATATTTATTATGTTGTTGTTGTTGTTGTTGTTAAATATTTTTTTTTCAAGATACTTGTAGTAATTTTTACTACCACTCAATAGTAAATAGGGTATTTAAATGCATTATTATTTTGATATAATTAGTTTCAAAAATTGTACAAGTATAAAAAAGCCAAAAAATTCCCCACATTATTTTGGTTGGTGAATGTGGGGAAATTTTGGAATTTTGAAACTAATTATATCAACATAATAATGCATTTAAATACCCTATATACTATTGTGTGATAGTAGAAATTACTATAGGTTTTTGAAAAAAAAAAATATTTAAACACATTTTGATAATTCAAAAAAATAATAAAATAAAATAAAATAAAATCCTAACAAAGGGGTATGGAATTATAAATTTGGATTATATAGGAAATTGTTAGTCTAATATGTATTTTGAAAGGAAACATAGAATTAATAAATAATAATAATAATAATAATAATAATAATAATAATAATAGACAGAAATTCCTCGAAATAGTTTTTCGGTGATCAGCGTACTATTTTGCACATATAATATAAAAGGTGGTACCGCTAATAGTAAATAGTTGAGTTCGTATTATTTTACACACACTGTTGATAGTTGGTATTATTTTAATCCAATTTTCCTAAATTATTACTTCCTCTATTTCTTTATAGTTGCAACACTTCTCTTTTCACACTTGCCGATGCATAGTTCCAATCGTTAATATATTTAATTACCAATATGTAAAAATTATAAATTTTTGATATTAAAATAGTATAAATCGAGACGAATCTAACAAGATTCCACATGACTATATTTTTGAAGCTATAAATCATCAAAGCTATTCAAAGTGTAACACATAAATAGTGTAAAAGTCAAACTGTTGCAACTACAAAAAAAAAAAAAAAAAAAAACGGAGGAAGTATGAGCTTATTTTTACAAAATATAAAATAAACTTGCTTATATATCAAATTGCCCATTATAACTATTACGTATTTAATTATTTTTATTTGCATATTTTAATTGTTTTATTATTATATTTCAGAATTTTTAATACGTTGTGAGCCGATTTATAATATTTTATGCTCTCTCCGTGTTTAAAAAGTTTTACACTTTGACTGACACATATTTTTAGGTAATTTAATTGACTTAAATAAAATAAGATGTGAGTGGGTGGTTGGAGTATTAAATAATTGTAAGAAAAAAAAATAGTACGGTTAATAGTTTATTGAAAAGTAATGAATATGAAAATAAATAAATAATATAAAAAGTAGTAGTTCGTTTGGGTGGGGACCATGAAATGAAAAATATATAACTTTAAAATGTAGCTTTTTGCCAAAAAATGAAGTGTAATACTTATTAAAACACAGCCGCATTTGGTAAGTGTAACACTTATTAAAACACAGAGGGATTATAATTTATTTTTGATAATTTTATTTTCTTTATACTACCTCCGTCCCTAATATTTTGCCACATTTGACTGTTCGCAGCCTCCAATTTGCGTCTTAAAACGGTTTTATTTCTATATTCATACGTGTAAAAATTATGAAAGTTACTCTGTCCGTTTCGTAATAATCGCAATACTAAGTGTTGTACAAAGTTTTAGAAAATTTATAGGGTGGGGTCAAAAAAGGGAATTTTATAATATAAAGTATACGAAGTATTTAGTATAGAAAAGAGAGAGAGAAAAGAAAAAGTCGTGTATGTATGGTTGCTAGGAAAGAAATATAAAATAGTAGAACCAAAAAAAGAAGTGTTGCAATTATTATGAAATATATGTAAAAGAAAAGTGTTACAATTATTACATGGAGGGAGTAGATATTAATAAAATATAGAATAATACGGATCTAACAAGATCTCACATAACGGTATTATCTCTTATAGATTAAGTGTATTTATGGTAAAAAAAAAAAATAAAAAAAAAAATGTAACCTATTTTTTTGTAATGGGGCAAAAATTTAAGGACATAAGGATTAATTATTTAGCAACCGTGTATTACACGCGTTTAAAAGGGTTTTGGGATGAGTTCGAGAAGTGAGCCCGTAGTAATCCTTTCTTTATTTGTTTATTTGGGAAATTAGAGTAGTTGTCATTTTACACCTTTTACATTTTTGGAACCAAGCGTCACCATTATTTTTTATTCCATTTGATCAATTGATTAGAAGATTAGCTTTAGAGGTGCAAAAAACTGACCCGTTTAATTTGATTCGATCCGATTTAAAGAAAACCCGATGCAAATTTATATCATTATAATTATTTTTGCTGAATGTGGAGACATGACCTAAATGAGAAGATAATGGATTTGATTCAAGTATTTGATAATAATGTGCGAAATAGGAGACTAAGGCTATGACTCTATTCTTTGAGTTTCTGGATAGAGCAGAGCAGGGATTAGCCGAGTAGAACAGATTTCATTATTATTATTATTGTTGTTGTTGTTGTTGTTGTTGTTATTAAATAATAATTATTTTTGTTATTATTATTATCATCTTTAAATATTAGTTATTATTATTGTTAAAAATTAATTATTATTATTATTATTATTAATTATTATTATTATTATTAAATATTAATTATTAGTATTATTAATATTATTATTAAATATTAATTATTATTATTTTTATTTTTATTATTTTCTTTAAATATTATTTATTATTATTAAAAATTAATTATTATTATTATTTATTATTATTATTATTACTATTATTATTATTATTTATTATTATTATTATTAATTAATATTATTAAAAATAATTAATAATTAATTAGTAAATTGTATTATTATTATTATTGTTATTATTATTATTATTAAATATTAATTATTATTATCTTTAAATATTAGTTATTATTATTAAATACTAATTATCATTTTTAAATATTAATCATTATTATTATTATTAATTATTATTTTTAAACAGAGCAGATTTAAGCAGAGTAGAGCAGCTCAAAAGAACAGGGCCTATGTTTCATTCATCTTATTTTCATTAGAGCGAGATTATATGTTTAGATAATCTCAAGATAAGTATAGAAAAAATAAGTTCATATAAGAGTTACCTAATTTTAAGATAATGGTGTTTTTTTTTCTTTCCCGTGTGACCAAAAAGGAAAAAACCATAAATTTACCAAAAGAGGAATAGGTGTATTTTTTTTTATTAAAAAACCTTAAAATTTTTTACATTACATACTACTAAAGGTGAAACTAACAAGAACACTTGATATATAACATCTTCAAAATTTCTTGATTTAAAAAAAATTCATTATTACATAAAAAGGTCAGGTCTGTACATAATTTAGAGGAAAATTGGCTTAAAATAATACCAACTATTAACAGTGTGTAAAATAATACGAACTTTAATATTTGCTATTAGCGGTACTACCTTTTATACAATATGTGCAAAATACGTCGGTTACCGAAAAAGTTTCGCGAGGAATATTCCATCTATATTTATTATGATTATTGTTATTATTATTGTTATTGTTATTGTTATTGTTATTGTTATTGTTATTATTATTGTTATTGTTATTATTATTATTATTATTATTATTATTATTATTATTATTATTATTGTTATTATTATTATTATTATAATTATTATTATTAATAATAATAATAATTTTTTTTTCTTTTCAAATACATATTATGTTAACAATTTCCTTTGTCAATATGTATTTAAATATTATTTTTTTAAAAATACTTGTAGTAATTTTTACTACCACTCAATAGTAAATAGGGTATTTAAATACATTATTGTTTTGATATAATTAGTTTCAAAAATTGTACAAGTATAAAAAAAATCCAAAAAATTCCCCACATTATTTTGCATTGGTTAGTGAATGTGGGAAAATTTTGGAATTTTGAAACTAATTATATCAACATAATAATGCATTTTAAATACCCTATATACTATTGTGTGATAGTAGAAATTACTATAGGTTTTTGAAAAAAAAAATATTTAAACACATATTGATAATTCAAAAAAATAATTAAAAAAAATAAAAAAAAGGCCTAACAAAGGGGTGTGGCATTATTAATTTGGATTATAAAGGAAATTGTTAGTCTAATATGTATTTTGAAAGAAAACATAAAATTAATAAATAATAATAATAATAATAATAATAATAATAATAATAATAATAATAATAATAATAATAGACAGAATATTCCTCGAAATACTTTTTCGGTGACCGGCGTACTATTTTTCACATATAATACAAAAGGTGGTACCGCTAATAGCAAATAGTTGAGTTCGTATTATTTTACACACACTGTTGATTGTTGGTATTATTTTAATCCAATTTTCCTAAATTATACTTCCTCTATTTCTTTATAGTTGCAACACTGCTCTTTTCACACTTGCCGATGCATAGTTCCAATCGTTAATATATTTAATTACCAATATGTAAACATTATAAATTTTTGATATTAAAATAGTATAAATCTAGACGAATCTAACAAGATTCCACATGACTATATTTTTGTAAAGTTATAAATCATCAAAGCTAGTCAAAGTGTAAGACATAAATAGTGTAATTGTCAAATTGTTGCAACTACTATGTATTTAATTATTTTTATTGTTGTAACACATAAATATCAAATTGTCCATTATAACTATTATGTATTTAATTATTTTTATTTGCATATTTGAATTGTTTTAATATTATATTTCAGAATTTTTAATACGTTGTGAGCCGATTTATAATATTTTATGCTCTCTCCGAGTTTTAAAAGTTTTACACTTTGACCGACACATAGTTTTAGGCAATTTAATTGACTTAAATAAAATAAGATGTGAGTGGGGTGGTTGGAGAATTAAATAATTGTAAGAAAAAAAATAGTACGGTTGATAGTTTATTGAAAAGTAATGAATGTGAAAGGAAAGAAATAATATAAAAAGTAGTAGTTCGTTTAGGTGGGGACCATGAAATGAAAAATATATAACATTAAAATGTAGCTTTTTGCCAAAAAATGAAGTGTAATACTTATTAAAACACAACATTTGGTAAGTGTAACACTTATTAAAATATAGAGGGATTATAATTTATTTTTTGATAATTTTATTATCCTTATACTCCCTCCGTCCCTAATATTTTGCCACATTTGACTGTTCGCAGCCTCCAAGATGCGTCTTAAAACGATTTTATCTCTATTTTCATCCATTTAAAAATTATGAAAGTTACTCCGTCCGTATCGTAATAATCGCAATACTAGGTGTTGCACAAAGTCTTAGGAAATTTATAGGGTAGGGTCCAAAAAGGGAATTTTATAATATAAAGTATACGAAGTAGTTAGTATAGAAAAGAGAGAGAGAAAAAAAAAAAAGTCGTGTATGTAAGGTTGCTAGGAAAGAAATATAAAATAGTAGAACCAAAAAAAGAAGTGTTGCAATTATTATGAAATATTTGTAAAAGAAAAGTGTTACAATTATTACACGGAGGGAGTAGATATTAATAAAATATAGAATGAGACAGATGTAACAAGATCTCACATAACTATATTATCTCTTATAGATTAAGTGTATTTATGGTAAAAAAAATAAATAAATTAAAATGTAACCTATTTTTTTTTGTAATGGGGCAAAAATTTAAGGACATAAGGATTAATTATTTAGCAACCGTGTATTACACGGGGTTAAATGACTTTTTTTTTTTTTTTTTTTGAAAGTCTTTTAACCCGTATAATACACGGTTGCTAGCCTTGTAGGTAAGAATGGCAATATTATATGGATATCCGCTAACCCGCTCCGCCGGCTTTAAATAAATGGACGAAAACTCAAAATAAATGAATGAGAATCGGGTGACGGATGGAGCGGATGATGGGGATCACATTGGATGGGATGTGGATGATACTTTACTTCACCCACTAACTATCCACCTACCAGTTTAACATATATATTAAATTTTTTTATCTAAGAGTTTTAATAGTGAAATATGAATTGTGTAAGAAAATTACTTGTTTTTTCTTGCAAATTGATTTTTTTTCAAACAATATGTTGTTATTGTTTCATTTTTTATTAAAAAAAAAAAACAATTGTATAAATCACCGAAAATTAGAATTATGTGGATTTTTTTTCACTTTCAATACTCATCCATAAGTCATCCGCTCCACCCATTTCATCCGCGGATGATGGGCGAACGGATGGGTAAAGCGGGTGACAGATGGATGTGGATGGAGTGACTGGAAGATGGATGCGGGTGAAGTTCCACCCGATTCGAATCCGATCCATTGTCATTTCTACTTGTAGGATAAAGTTGTATCAAGAATGCCTGCCCAATTTCACTCCATTTTGGCCCATTCCAAGACAAATGTTGGCGCAATTCAATATAGTAATTGTTGTTGGACCAATTCAAATGGTGGCCCATTCCCTTTTTTCCTGAACTTTAAAATGAAAATCCAAGACAAATGTTGGCCCAATTCAATATAGCTAATTGGTCTTGATCTGATTATTCATCCGATGCAACATTACATTAGTGGATCAAGAAAAAGCATTGAGCTCATCGCCTGTCAAACTACAACCCTCTGTTTCACCAACATTTTAATTTACACATTTCAGTAGCACTCAATTTTGAACATTGTTATCATTAACTATTCTTAGTTAAATATACTTCGTAATACTTCATACAAAGTATAAAAATAAACTACTACATTGAACCTAATCCAATATCATTTTATATAATTACATTTATGTTATATGTGGTTACAAATTGTGAATGAATAATGTTACGTTCACCTTATTTTCATTTATTTTAGGTTTAATAAGTTCAGACAAGAAAATTTCAGGAAAAATAAGTTCGGATAAGGGTTACCATGTACGAATTACAACTAAAATAAGTTTTAATAATGTCTAACAAGTTCAAATATATTTAATTAAGTTCAGATAAATGAAAATCAGGTGAATAGAATTCAACCTAAGAAATAAAAAGTATAATCCACCCATATTATTCCAAAATAATCAAATACATAGATTATCATCCTTAATACAAGACTATTCGGAAAAAAAAAAAAAAAAAAAAAAAAAAAAAAAAAAAAAAAAAAAATCAAGCACAACGTTTGGACCAATTTAGTTACAACTTACCAATTGCAGTGAATATCAAAATAAAATCAAGCCTAGTAATTAAAAACCGTACCCCACCATTAATACGTAGTATTACTTCTTAATAGCATATGGAGGCCAGTACAAATGAAACTCAATCTTGTAAACAACAGTGATACCCACAAGATTAACGGGAGACGAGGTCACGTATCCTTGAACAAACAAGAAATCGCCCGTGCCACCAACAACAGGATGATCAGATGGTTTTGTGTTATGAGTCTCCCCAAGAATCGAAATCGAACCCTTGTGGTTTTTTATGTTGAGAGAGATCCTTGCCATCGATATGCTTTGAAGCCCATCCAGGCTCGACGTGATGGAAGCTCCCTGCGCGGTTCCATGAACCGCGAAGGAGCTATAAGATACTGTGGTAGTAAGTGGATCTTGGAACGCAAATATGGTTCCAAATGGGGTAGTTGTTTGGCTAACATGAGGCCCTGCTACTCCGTTTACTATAAAGTAACCGGTTTTGTTGATGGTTTCGTGTTGGTATAACGAAAAATGCATGGATTTTAGCTCGTCATGATGGTGGTGGTGGTGGTGATGGTGGTGGTGGGCGGCTATCGCCAAGGCGGGAAGAAGAAAGAAAAATAATACATGGATCATTGAGAAAGCCATGTTGTACATAGGTAATGTTATTAATGTATTACAAATGGATGTGTGGATGTACATATAGGCGGCTAAGTTGTAAAGAGGAGTATGAAAAATTCAAATGAAAGTAATTGGTCCGTTAGTAACTACTGCTACGACTTACAATAAATGATAGAAGTTAGTGGTTGAATTAAGGAAAAAATTGAGGTTTTATTGACTAGAAAAAGAAAGGGGGCGATATTGGACTGAAAAAGAGTCAATCCCGTGAGAAACACTTCGGAGTTGATCAAACCACAAACTTTTGCTTTTACATTACAGCTATTGAAGACAGAGAAATCTTATGACATAAAATGAAACAAAGTGATATATACGATAGTGATATGCACTGGCGGAGCCAGCGTGGGACAAGGGGGGACAGTTGTCCCCCCACTTCCAAAAAAAAAATAGTATAAATACAATATTTTGTGCATAATGTAATAGACCAAAGGAGTTAGCGCAATGGTTAAAGTAAGTTGCATGAGTTTGTACTTGTAGTCTTAGGAACTGGGTTCGATTCTTCCTGTGCGCTTTTTCTTTCCTTTATTTATTTATTTATTTTTTTGTTTTTGTTTTTTTTTTTTTTAAAAAAAATTATTATATATATAAATCTTTATAAGATTTTGAAACCTAAATTTTTATAAGATAGTATTACTTCAATTTAATTCTTAACATTACCCCATTTACTTATTTGAATAATTGTAACTGTAGTTCCCTTTATTTATTTATTTATTTATTTTATTTGTTTTTTAATAAATCTTTATAAGATTTTGAAACCTAAATCTTTATAAGATAATATTACTTCAATGCATTTCTTAACAATTACTCCATATACGTATTTGAATCTTTGTAATTGTAGTTTTGCATGAGCTTTACCCCAAATTACGATTGTTATAGCCTAATAGATAATTATGACAGTACTACATTTAAATAACTATATTATTAATTGTTTGAAATCTTCAAAAATTATGAACCCCTAAACAAATAGTTTATGGAGAAAAGTGGTATACGATGTTGATTTTTTGACTAAGTACTCCGTATTTTATATTTTGAGCTGTAAAACTTTAACTATTCAAGCATATTTTTGCTCCAATATTAAACTAAGTGATGATGTTTATTTGTCCCCCCGGTTTGAAATTCCTGGCTCCGCCACTGGTGATATGTATAGTTATGGGGTACATATATATATATATATATATATATTTTTTTGTTGAAGGAGGGTATATAAATAAATAATTAAAGGATTTTTTTTTTACCAAGACAAAATAAGTTTAAATAAGATAAATTGAACAAAAAAGTCAAATAAAACAAAGTTTTCACTTTTTTAATAAGTATAATTAACATCTTTCTTTATTGTTTTGTTTTTACTACAACTTTAGCTCAACTCATTAGTTAATGTATATTATTGGATTAAAGGTACTGAGTATCGAAGAGACTCCTGTACCTTTTTTTTTTTTTTTTTTTTTTTTTTTTTGGAGAAAATGAGACTCCTCTACGGCTCTACCTAAAATTTTATATAGTGTAGTCAACGATGTTATGTATTCTATAAATTCAAATTCAAAATTTTACGTATGTTTTATATGTTCAACGAAAAATTTTCTTTTAAAAAAAAAAATTTCTCTATTTACATACTTTGTATTTAAAAAAAAAAAGGAAAAACATCCATAGAGGATGGAGTCCATTTATACAAATTTAATATTTTATTCTTGTACCATTGTATCATGTACTTTATGAACAATGATATCAAATTAAATCATGACGTACTAGTAACTAGATTTGGTTTCCCCTACTTACAACTACCACAAATGAACTCATTTTCACATTATATGTATTTTTTTTGGAAAGATTTACAGTGTCTATAACTCTTGATGATCATGAACATGAACGTTCAATCTCCGAAGCCAAACCGAATGAAGTATCATATGGAAGAAATCATAGCGTTTAGGAGGAGAATGAACTTCGAAATGCCTCCTTACTTGAAGCACTCTTCGGTACATCTTCAAATATTTTTTTGTAGAAACGCTTGATAAGATCATCTTCAAGTTCGGTATGTCCTTCACCGAGACTTCAATTGAAAAGGACTTCCAATTCAACACATCACTAAATGGTGGTACGTAGTGATCCGATATAAGAACAGGCACACACCCGGTGTATATTGCCTCGACGATCCTAGGGCTCGCGACCTCATAACCACTAGGACAAATACAAAACTTGCTATTTTTTAGCATGTCATAGTAGGAAACTCCTTTTGGTAGGTAGTTGTAGATTTTCAAGTCTTCGTCGTTGTTGTTTCCCCAATACTCTAGGAGGATAGGCCTAATTGGTCCATGAAGTCCACCCGCGAAAAATCCTAAGATGGAGCGCCGTGAAGGGGATGGTCCTCCAACGAACCCTTGGATATCCCCCGTTCGAAGGTTGATTTCAGGAAGGGATATATCCTTCCGAGGCTTAAACCCTTCGGAGGTATTAGCATTGCATAGGACTCGAATTGAGTTCTTGCTTAGGTAAGGAACTGAATTTGATGCTTCTGGCCCCTTAATCAGGAACAAAAAAAAAAAAAAAAAAAAAAAGGCGGCATTTTTAGCTAACTTCATAAAAAAAGGCATCAAAAATTGATTATCAATGCTACGTTGTAACATTATATTTGAGAAGATCGAATATTATGTTGATCAATCTGATACGTACCCAGTCATGACAAGAGAGCATAAAATGATCAGCTCCAAGGCTACGATTCCAATAAGGATACTTGCTAGAAACGACATTGATATAATCTCTCACGGTGTGTTTAATGGGACCAAAGTCATGAGAGTCCCGTGGATAAACATAATGAACCATCATAGTGACACTAAAGGGAAGGAAGAACACATGAGCCTTCTCTCGGTTCTTAGTTCGGAATTGATTATTGATCTCCATAAGGTGTATGAAGTTCCCTTCGGTTGAGTATATACTTTTACAAGGGCCGTTGTGGAACAATGGGGTTTCACCTTCCTCGTAAACAAAAACCTTAAATCGTTTCTCCATTTCCAAGTAGCTCCTGCACGCAATTATCGATCATATGCAAGCACAAAGTTTTAACATTTCTATATCGCGAAGCTTTTCACATACTACGGAGTATTATCTTAATACATCTCTCTTTCCGCTATAAACAAATGATGTTTTCTACGGAAGTGCAATTTGACCAATTTATTATTTGCTATATAAAGGAAATTGTGAATGTACATGTTGATCAAAGGAATTATGCAACTTAAAATACAATCAATTCTAAATTTACCAGGCCAAATCATGTAATTAATTCGTTTTTCTATAAATAATCATGATAACAAGTTAGATTGTGTAAATTATCAAATCGACTAATCCTTCTCACCCTCTTTTTTTAAATACTCGAGTTTATCTTAATTAGCATTGCATCTCATATTAGGTAAATGTTAACACATACATTATGTGCAATATATAGAAATCTGAATAAGCAAGAAAAAAGACCTTTAATTTAATTTCCATACATGTTTATAAAGCTCAAATCTTGAAAGAATCAGTGACCACTAAAACACATTAGCTAGGGTAAAACAAATGTTTAGACTTTCCAAAAAGAAGAAACTCATAATAACTTTTTGTCCCTCAATTTCTAAGTGGAGTAACTTTTCGAGTAGAATATAAATTAAAGTTTGCTTATTATGCATGTACCTTAAATTAACACTAATCATACATATACTGCCAAATGTATTTAATGAAATATAACCAACAACTCAGCAAGAGTAGCATTTACGTCTCAATCGCCAAGCCAAATTGAACATGCACCAAATTCGGCAATAGTACTAGGACATACATTTATCTAAAGTATCATTTTAAGAAATTATAATTCTAAATGGCGTGACATTGTTCCAACTCTAAATTCAAGATGTGATACGATTTTATAAAATAAATATATCCAATACGTCTATAAAGAGAAATGGAGTACGGAGTATAACATAAGTAATAGCCTGGCATTTTAGTTAGTCAAGTTGTAACGACATTTTCCGAATATGCTATAATGCTTAGTTTATCTTACATACCTGTGAAAAGCATTGGAGTTCCAATACATTGGACCGACGGGCTTAAAATCGGGGTCATCATACGTACGATTTGTAAACTTAGCTTCCTTGATTCCGGCCCGAGCCTTTTGAAGCCCGATTTCAAGCTTATCCAAATCAGTAACCACCTTCTCTAGTTCGACTTTCCTCATGGGAGGGGTATGTGTTTCATTTAAGGTAGTGACGATGATATCGGTTGAATTTGGAGTCATGTCCTTTAATGTCATTGAGCTCCCATTTGTCGCCTGTTGAACTCAGCTAAATTAGTCTTTTGTATAACAACATCACTTAACCAAATTTAGTAAATCCCATTGTCAAGAAAAAAAAAATAAATAAAAAAATCAATTCCACTTCTCTACTATATATATATATTTTTTAAAAGTTATCATGTCCCTCCAAAATTAATAATCACATTGATTTGTAATGTATACAAGTACTACTTCCGTTCTTAAAAGATGTTTACACTTTATAATTATATTTATAATTATAATTATATCGATGCTACATTAAATATTGTGGAAAAAGATTAATGAGAAGAAAGCTCTTTTAAGAACGGAATTACGGAGTAGTAATTGCAAGCATTATTTTTTTTTTCACAGAATAATTACAAGTATTATTGGTTGTCAAAAAAAAAAAAAAAATTACAAGTATTATTTTAAGTTGTGAAAGATAGACTACTCTCAAATTACCATTAGTAATTAACCAAATTTTTGGTCCATCTCATTGTACTTGTACCAAAATAAAGTTTCAAGCTATATTTGGTGCTATATCAATCTACAAAGACAACATAGTATCAATTAATTAATTCTACGGAGCATAATTAAATATTTTTTTTAAAAAAAAAAAAAGATAAAAACCGGCTAAGACCTACATTTATTTTTTTGTGAAAGTAAGACCTACATTGATGATTATACATTCATAATAATTTGTATAATAATTATTTATTTCAAGAGGAAAGTGAACCAAAAAAAAATAAATAAATAAAAAAATAAATAAAAAATAAAATTGGTTTAAAAACATTAACTTTTTCAGAAGTTATTTTCAATATTTTATGCCCTACAAATAAAAATTTTGTTTCAAGTAATTCATTTTCCTATTGTTCTTGTTTCACGTATTAATCTCGTTCAAACCCGAAGTAAAATTCATGCACTCGTCGATAATACAATCAAAGACTCAATAAATAAAAAAATAATAATAATTATAAAAATGAAAATAAAAATAAAAAAATAAAAAAAAACTTTTCTAGAATTTTAGGACAAAAACACGGAGAGAAATATAAGGAAAAGTAATTGATTTTCTTGTTTTTGTAAATGTCTTCTGGAAATTTGGGATGGATGAAAACTTTCTTAAACACACTTGTTAGTAATCATTGAACAATATAAATGTGTGTGTGACCCGTAATTAAAACAAAACTCTTACTAAAAAAATTTATTCATGAGATCAAAAGGGAAAAAAAAAAAAAAAAAAAAAAACATCAGGACACCAAAGTGAAATTATGTCAAATCTCCGAGCACCAAAGTGAAAATTTTCGTATACGACACCATGTCGCTAATGCAAAAACATGTCACGAAAAACGACAGACTAAGAATGACTACAAAAAATAAACAACGGAAGAAAAGAGAGAAAAAGTGATAAAAGTTCTCACAAGTGCAAAAACAGATGAGTTATTAGCAGCTTGAATTGTTGCAACATGATCAGAAGGTGTTGATAAACCAGATTCCTCTGTTACAACACTAGCTTTCTCTGCTATTATCCCTTCTTCAATTTTTAATCTCAATTCTTCAGTTGAAACTCGGTGTATTTCCTTTGAATTTACACTTGATGAAGTTTCCGCCGTCTTCGACGACAACGAAGACGGCAAAATCAAAGGGTTTGGATTAAGACCACCATTGAATGAAACAAACCCAAATAACAAAATCAATGGTATAGTGAAGCAAATTATTACTTTCACTAATGGTGATGATAAATACAAATACCCCATTTTATTTTTATTCTCTTCTAATTTCATTTCATGTTATTGTTCTAATTTTCAACATTTTAAACAAAATCAACCAAAAGTTTTTTTGGTATGGTGCAACATGTTTAGTTTGTTATTTCTTTGCACTGAAAAAAGGGGTTATTGTAAAAAGGAGGTGGTTTAGAATTTGGTAGTTGGAAGACAAAAGAAGTGAAAGGTTTTATGCTTTAAATTAAAAAAAGTGGGTCAGAAATCAAGAGAAAGTGAACATCTGGTGATAAATAGTTGCACCTTCAATTCAACCAGCCAGGCGTCTGTTTGATCAGACCTTGTTTTGGAATCAAGTGCATGCAATAAAAAGATGAATGAAACCAAAAACTAGTTTAAAGCCAAATGTAAGGGTGGGGGTCAATGTGAATGTGAACCATTTTGTTTGACTGTTAATCCTTGCTACATGACAAAACAGTTTTTTGGAGTTTTTGATAGAGTTCAAATTGATTCGAGCTGAGAATAACCTGATCAAATTGGAAGTGATTGAAGGAGAACTCTACGGAGTATTTCCTTCGTTTCAAATTAGTTGCAGCATTTTTTTCAATTAATTGCAATACTTTGTACATGACTTAATTTGAGCCGACTCTCACATCTAATTTGACAACTCTAGTTTTTGGAAGACTTTGTTATTAGGTACGGTAATGCTTTTAATATAATGTGTTGATGTCATATAAATACGATGTCTTTTAGTGAATTAACTATTTGGATTTTATCAAAGCTTATTTAAATTAGAACTTATAAAAATTGAAACTTATTGAGCCTTATTATACGTAGAGTTGATCAAAATGGGCCCACCATGATTTTTTGGGCAAGCCATGTGTATAACTTATCGGCACAAAGTTGAACCCGGCTAAGCTTGAATTAAAATTTTTTTTGGCGGGCCATGGGCAAATACTTTTTAACATGTTTAGGTATTTTAAAGACTCGGCCCAAATATGGCCCAAAAGCCCGATTGACCCGGCTCGAAATTACGAGTTCGAGCTACAATTTTCGGCCCAAACCTTAGATCGTCTTGGCCCTTCAAATTTAATGGCTGGCTTTTTTTCATCTTTTTTTTTTTTTCTCCAACCCGCCCAATGATCACCTCTATATATATATATATATATAAGGATTTCTGGTGTTGCATATCGTGTCTAGCCTACATCTAATCCATAGCCTATTAAGCTTATTGAATATCGTGTTGTACTGTGGTTACATGAAAGCCAAATATTGTCTCTGTTTTTTTTTTTTTAGCTATATTTGCTATTTTCGTCCATGTTTTTAAAAGCTACACTTCTCTTTAGGAAATCTTTACAATTTAATAATATGTCTTTACCCACTAACGGTCCCCACTCTATTATTACCTTATCAACCTCACTAACATCTTATTTTGTTGAACCTCCTAAAACTCCGCGTTCCCAACTCTAGCTTTTTTTAAAGAAAATGGAGGGAGTACTTATTTTGTGTAGTTGTATATGGTTGACCCTAAATTTATCAGTAGGGCTGAGCAAAACAATCCGAATATCCGATTTGCATCCGATTCGATAATTTAGGATATCCGATCCAAAATTTTCAAATATTGGATGCTTATTCGGATATTAATTTTTGAATTTTCGGATACCTGATATTCAGAAAATATCCGAACTAAGTCGAATTTTGGATATCTAATAACAAATATCCGATCCAAATATCCAAAAATGTGGGTGACGGTTACATTTTTTAAATAAATATAAAAAAAAAATCAAATTAAAAATAATTATATAGTGTTTCGGGGTTTTTCGTGTCCCTCGGGAGAGTTACGCCACTAAGTCTGGATTCCGGGCGCCTGTACCTGCAAAACAACGGAGACTCTGGTTGGGTGGAGTTCCGCCTCTGACAATCAAGTTAGAACGTGTACGGAGAATGTAAAAAGGTGCGGAAAGTAAAGTGAAATCTTCTCGGATTCCGAGATCAGGTGTTTTTCTCTGTTTTCGAGAGAATTGATTATGTTGCAATCATTCAATGTTTTTTCCCAAAGGGGGGTCAATCTCCCTATTTATAGGGTCATTGAAATTCGTGCCCCAATCCTAGGTTACGGAAACTTAGGACTGATGGGCTGCGCCGCCTTTTGACAGCCTAGGGAATTGGGCCTTGAAGGCCGTCTTTTTTCCAATGATTGCGAGTGCCACGTGTCAGCTGAGGAGAGGTTCGTTTTGAACCTCTCTTACGGTGACACGTGTCACCATTTTATTGGGCCACGTGGCCTTGGGTATTTTTACCCTAAACATTTGCCCTTCACAAGTGTGACGTGGCATGCCACGTGGCACTTGTGACACTTTGCACTTAGGCATTGGTGAACAGTTTAACTGTTCACCTTCTGGGAAAATTACGGGATGCCCCTGAATTTACCCTTCCATAAATTGGGTTTTACCCTCCCTCATTTTTGACATTTCCAAAGTCTAGAGAGAGTCAAACGTTCTTATAGAGAGAATATCTGACAGCCGCTTGTGTGCTTTCCAGATAATTGTCCTTTGTTTTCCAACTGGTTACAGCCGGTCTACTGTCTGTGCATCTCACAAACAGGAGAATATCTAACAACCGCCTGTTACAGCCGATCAGCGCTTGACACCACTTTCAGAAACATCTTAGAGGTTCCGTCTCTCCACTTCTCAACTCTTTCATACTTTTTCCGTTTGTTTACATATCATTCCATAAATAGATTCACCAACAACACACACGGCACAGCCTAGGACAATAGTTAGCCGGTCTCCTGGTACGGCTGAGTCTAAGACTAGGGGTGCCGTCTCTGGGTGTTTGGATCACCCTTGTTCATCTCCAAATCCGACCTTCTCCGTGTCTGCGAGGACACTATGGCTTAGACAAGATGGGCGACGCTAGATCCTAAATATAGGGAAGAAGGCACTGAAGATGTGCCACCTGAGGAAGTACCGGCTGAGGAGGGAAGGGGATCCCCTTCGGGTGCACCCAGCACTCCTAGTGATGGGATCCTTGAATCAGAAAAGAGAGACGGTGAAGAAGCCGCCTCTGTGTCTGGCTTTGAGGAGGATAATGAAGTCTGTGAGAGAGGCGGGGGGGGGGGGGGGGGTGGAGACCGCCTCTAGGTCTAACTCTGAGGAGAGCAGCAGTGGCTCACTATCACCGGTTGAGGATAGTGAAGTAGAAGAGAGGAAAAAGTGGAGCAAAGAGGGGGATCCGTTCCGGATCCATGTATCTGCCAGAGATAGGGCAAACATGGAAAATAACCTGGCGGACTTTAAATTAAAACGTCCTCTTGGCGAGGGCTGTGACATCCGGGTGTCGCTTGCTCTGGGTACCATTGCCTTGAAGGATGACCAGCCAAACACCAACAATTTCTTCGGCTGCTATGAGGCGGCCTTCCTAATCGGTCTCCGCTTCCCCCTTCACGATTCAATCAAGGCTATCCTGCGAGGATATGGCCTGGGAGTGTGTTAGTTAACCCTAAATTCTTGGGTTAACATTCTGGGCTACATCACCGCCTGCGAGATGCAGGGCCTCCATCTCGGCTGGGAGGATTTTGCCCCCATGCACTATCTCAGCCGTAGCCCAGGCGGCTGGTGGGCGTGGTACACCTTAACCACCTATCCCAACAATTTGATGACCATAGACAAACTGTCTAAGTGATTTGATTGGAAGAATCTGTTCTACCTGGTTTCTGCCCCCAAACGGCGAGATAACTTAGAGTATCGCTGTTATAATAAAAAGTCGGATCTATTGGGGCAGAAATGTGCTCTTCCAAAGGTTCCGGATGAGGATTATGAAAAAATAATAGAGCCGGGGTTCTTTGAACTTACAAACACCCCCCTCTCATCCGACGAATTAATAAGTGTATCCAAGAACTGGATTCCCAAACATGAGTGGCTGAGAGACGAGGCGTTCTTGTCCGCCTGCGGTCTGAGCAATATGTTCGATAGACGTACGTAGAGCATGCATCCGTCAATTTTATGCCATCTCTATTGTTTCTTGTGAATTTAGGTCTGCTTAATGATCTGACATACGGTTCTTTTTGCAGAAACCGCCAGAAGCATGCTTCCCAAAGAAAAGACGCCTACCGGCTCTGCAGCTCAAATCCACAAGGATAATGCGGAGAAGAAGAAAGCCCAACTGGCGGCTAAGGGCCAGGTATAATCCGCCTGCCCCAGCTTCTCCCATTTCATGTTTATGTATACTGACGGCTATAATCCGACTATATAATTAATGTCTGATTTGTCTTTCCGGATGGTGACAAAGGGGATACCAGATCACTTACCAAGATGATCAAACGGAAGCCGGATGACGAAGTCACAAGCTCTGCCAAGTCCCGGAAGCTATCTTCTGCTCAGACGGCTCATGAGCTTCCGCTTGGGAAAAAGCCGTCTGACCATCGGAGGGAAGACTATCAGGAAGAACACTGGTCTGGGGATAGACCTCTCTAACAAGTCGGGTGCCTTTGAGGTGCCAAAGGGTGGCGAGCCACCCAAAGCTGCAAGCGATTCTGCAGCGGCTATTGGCAATCTGAGCCTTCAGCCTTATCCCAAAGGTACAGTTGACCCCTTCAACTCCCCCTTTGAGCTTGGTTGGCTCATGCGGGTCAAGTCACATTCACAGCTATAGTCGAAGGGTTCCTCAGGCAGTCGGCAGTCTGTTGGTGGCGCCTATGTAGCTTTCTCACCAAATCTACCTTCTACTGCAGATCAATCCCCCGGTGGCCGGATGTGCAACAGTTCTCCAAGACCATGCTGAGGTCTATTCGCAAGGAGGACAAGGAGGCCATCCTTGGGATTTAGGCGTTCAATGTTGATCGCATCCTCTCCCTGCTATCTGAGGTATAATAACTTTATTCACATTCCTTTAAGTATAATGCCGGTTTTTTTTTAACACACTGTTTGCATATATACAGGCGATGTTGAGAGTAGATGGGGTGAAGAAGCCGTATGCTCGGAAGCAGGAAGAGGTAAGGCGGGCTAATAAACGGGCGACTGAGTCCGGTGACGTTGCTCAGTATCAGAGTACGATAATTGAACTTGAGTCTAAAGCTGAGCTAATGTCATAGGCGGAAACCATCAAGCGGCTAACAACTGCCCTTGCTGAGGCTAATGAGAAGGCCGCAAATCTTGAGGCGGCGCTCAAGAATGCTCGGGCGGACCTCAAAGCTTTGGAGGACGCCGACAGGGAGAACACCACTCTCCGAGCAGACGTCGGCCATCTGAAGAGTGAGATGGCCGCCTCCCAGG